TCCTGACGTCACTCCTAAATCCTAAAGTCAAAACACCTCAGAAGGAGAACACGCAAACGGGAAAAAGACCTTTGGGTCCAAACTAGTAGGTTACAGGAGAAACTCCACTATCTACATGTGATAAAAGCTGTCAATCTCACACGAAGGAAATTCACCTGTATCATTCCCCTCCTAATTATGTATTCATTTTTATCTTATCTAACCATTACAAGAAAATAAACACCAAGGAATACACAACTAAAAACTTTGTTTCAAGTATAGCATCATAACAAAATTTAAAAAGCCAAACAGATCAAATTTACATCATTTATCACCAAGCAAGCTGTATTATCATAAAGTTATTATATAAAACCAGGACTAGTCAAAATATACACACTGGATATCAAAGAATTACTATTGTTGTTGTTGTTAAGTGCCTGTTGAGTCACAGGCGACTCATGATTGACAAATGGCAACAGTACGAATCCTCAAAACAAGAAAAAAAATGGATTAGACACATTTAGGAAAAGCAGCACAGAAAATGTTCAATGAACTTTATTTAAAAATCTCTGATCCCTAAATGTCTAACTACAGAAGAATGGTTAGAAAGCTATTCTGAAAAGTGTACAACAGTGCATGTAATTATCTTTAAAGATTCTTAAAAACTACTTATGAAAAATATTAATCGTTAGGGTAGAATGCTCAGTCATGCACATTCACTGAGTCCGTCTGTCTGCCTGCCCTCTGATCTATCTAGACTGGGTCGAGGTAAGCAAGGACAAGTGTGACTGTGGATCAGAGGTCACGAAGAAAGCCAAGCCTGTGTGTCTGGAGAGGCCATCAGGAACACGCCATCTGCTTCGGCAGACTCTGGACTGCGGAAGCTCAGAGGCTCTGGCTGGCTCTGGGAGATGTGGGGCGAGGCTGAAAAAAGGCTGATGAGGGCCTGTGAGTTTGTAAAGGACTCAATCCCAGCACACACAGTCCTCCTTGTTAGCCTTCTGAAAAAGGCCAACAGCCACACCCACACCTCCTTGGCAGGAGGTGCAAAGATCTAAAGAATGAGATGCTGGCGTTTTGACAGGCCCACTCGATTGGCTTACAGCAAAATCCACTGTTTTCTAAGCCCCACCTACACACCAAGTGTCTCCAATCACCATTTCGGTGACTCAACAATAAATAGGAATAGACAGCACAGGATCCTAAGACCTTTGACAAAAACCCCACCATCAGAAAGAAAAAAATACCAAAACTAAACAATTTTTTTTTAAAAAGGAACTTGGACAAAGTAAAGAGAACACAAGGTTTGGAGGGAAAATTTCAATCATAATATCCTCATGAGACACAGATGAAACAAGAACAAAGGAGATAAAGGGTTTGAAAAGCTGTACTCTATCTCTGAAAGGTACTACAAAAGGTGCAATGAGACAGAAGGATTCAATCATTTAAAACAAAGGACCAAAAGTCCTGTGGATTAGGACATGGATTCCACAGGCCGGCCGGGATGTGAGCAACTGCAGGGAACCCCGGTGGCACCTAAGGTGAGCAGTGAGAACCCGGCAGGCTGAGCTGGCACTGCCGTACAGAAGGCAGGATCTGCATAAGGAATGCACATTCCAAAAGAACCGTCCCAGAGTCCTTTGAGAATGAGCCCTGGTGGCCTAGTGGTAAGAAAGGGCGCTGCAATCCCAAAGGCACGTGGCTCGAATCCACCAGTTGCTCCACAGAAGGATGGGCAATCTCCTCCTGATTTAATGTCTCTGAAAACCCACTGGAGGGTCAGCCAAGAAGTGGTTCTGACTCCACAGCACACAACATCAACAGAGTACGTAAAAAAAAAAAAAGTGTGTGCTCGGAGAACAACTCCAGCTCCAAAGAGCTCCAGTTCCCTAGGGGGGCTGAACAAGTTATTTTGTGGGATTCTGTACTCTGGTTTTAAATTAAGAGAAGGTGGAAAGGAGAACAGCTTCTTAAATTCAAAGAGTCTTAGAAGAGAGTGCAAGCGATGAAAATGATGCAAACAACAGTAAACAAGGATCTAAAATCATCTCCTTTTAACAGCTGGCATAAAAGCATGCCCATGCTTTCTGCCTGAATCCTCTATCATTGTTCAGGGAACACTGGTAAAGGCGCGATGAACTGCTGAGATGAACTGCTGAGACACCCTGGGCAGCTTCCTATAGCTAGTGTTTTCAGTTCAAATTTTATGAGCTCTAGTTAAATTCATTTTTGCCCTGTGCTTCGAGTGAAAAGGAAGTAAAACAGAAAAAAAATTGCTCTCATACTACAACGTTTTTACAAATTATTAGGAGCAGCTAAAGAAAACAGAAGAGGGCAGTGACCCACATGCATATGAAAAGATCATGCATCGTCATGCAAACATGAAACAACAACAATTACTAAGTGCACCTGGCAAAGCATGGATTTGTACTGGTCATTAAAATAATCTGTTAGTTCTTCCTCTGCTAAGAATCAAGAGTCGCCAGAAAACAGGATGCTAAAACACTGCTGAATAATTAAAGCATACCAGCCAGTACCACTCAGACTAAGCAAAGCAGGAAAACAGTGAGTGAGTGCTCCTGCCACAGAGGGACAGGCAGCCCACATGCTACAGCTGACTGCGGGCTACGCCCAGCACCACAGCGCCCTCCCAGCAAAGACAGGACAGGCTGTCTTAGCGAAGGGACCAATCTCTTCCACGCACTTGCACCTTCTGCTCTGTCTTTTGTCCACTTTCCCCTTAATAATTTGTCCGTCTCCTTTTAGATTAAGCACCTACCCCACCAAATTATGACTTGCTTTCCTTATCACCTTATGAGGAGCTCTGGTGGCATAGTCCATAGCAAGTTATGGGGCTATTCTAATGTCATCAAGTCTCCAGTGGTTCAAATCCAGCAGGTCTCCCCAGGGAGAAAGGTGACACAACCTCCTCCAGTTCTTACAGCCTCGGGAGCCTGATGGAGATCTGCTATGAGTCAGCGTGGGCATCCTGCTGAAACCAAGCCTCCAAAGACAGCCACAAGCTAATCAGAAGTGCACTGTTTCTACCTGTGTATGGTCTATGTGTCTTCTATACTTCAGGGGGCTGAGGCCACTATGTTTTATACAAAGTGTAGCCAGTGTCTGAATATTGTATGGCCTGTAAGGAGGCAAATTTCATGGGGCAAAGTACATTCAGATTTATAACCACTTCCATCTATATAGACCCAACAAGGTAAGACTGCCCCCAATCTGCTATAACCTACTGTCAGCAAGGTGATCCCAACTCACGGTGACACTACAGGACAGAGCTGAACTGCCCATAGCATTTCTAAGACTGTACATCTCTACAGAGGTAGAAACGGCCTCATCCTCGTGGGATGGGTTTGAACTGCGGACCTTTGGGTTAGCAGCTGAAAGGATTAACTAGTGTCCCACAAGGACTCCTAGAAATTTAATCAGCTTTTATCAATATAACACACCATCACTGTCTGGCTGCAGACACTGAAGTTTTAAAGGCTCAGTTTTATCTCATAATCCAAGGTTTGAACTCAATGAGAGGTTTGTAAGTTAGGATGAACCACACAAACTGAATTCCTGGTTTACATAAAGTCAGATAGTAAATTCAAATAACTAAAAAAACAACAACAAACTGTTGTTGCAAGCTGCTAAATTTGTTATACAGCAATCAGCAACTAATACAATCACTCAAAGCTCAAGTTCACACAGTTTACTAGAGATTGAAGTTAACCTGAAAGACAGTAAGATATAGAGAAATTAGAAATACTTTTCCTCATTTTATCCACAAAGTACGTTCAGGCACAAATTAGGCAGCATAATGGAATTAATTCCTAGCTCCATAAATGACAATGACTACTATCGTATGGTCAGTGGGCTAACTTCTCTTCCCCACCTTATCAAACTTTTATAAAGAAACTATTCTCCACCTCAGAGAAGCTATTATAAACTCTTATGAAATAGTCTACTATTAGAACAAAAATGAGAACTGCTAGCCTAGGATGAGGATTCTAAGTTTGAATCACTGCAAATTGTGAATGTTAGGTACTTCAAGATTTTTTTTTTAAGTATTTTTATATTTGTCAAAATTTTAGTGGGAAAAAATCCAACAGCCTTAGAGCCAGCTCTGACTTACGGCAAGCCTCCACAGGGTTCTTCGGCCGGTAGTCGTAACGGGAAGAGACTGCCCATCTTTCTCCATCACTCCAGCTGGCAGCGTTGAACTGCTAACACCTCACTCAGCAGCCTGTTACGTTACAGACTCTGCTACCAGAAGAGTGAGCTGGATATACTCTGGTGAACTGCAGAGCAGAACCTCTGAAGAGCAGCACTGGCTCAAATTAGGAGCAAACACAAGAGCTGGGTTTGCCAATTTCTTTTCCTTCTCTATAAATTGTTATAAATCTAAGCTACACAGAAATCAGTATGCCATTTCATAAAAGCAAAGGACCCTTTTAAGAGATGTATCACAGATTACAGCCGTCATGCCGTTACTGGGTGCTGACGAGTCTCTATCATCTCCTGGCTACCCCGCAGCACGACGAGTGGATTCCAACCACTAGATCCCTGGGCAGCAACGCAGAATTGCCCGTGCTTTCCTTGGCCATAATCTTTACGGAGGGAGTTCTGGTGGCCTCGTAGCAAGAAACTGCACTGCAATCTCAAAGGCACGGTTTGAGGACACCAGCTGCTCTGAGGGAGAAAGATGGGAAATCTCCTCCCGTGCAATTAACTGCCTCTGGAAACCCACAGGAGGAGGGTCAGCTGTGGGTCAGTTCCGACTCGATGGGACATAACAACAACAGCAATCTTTATGGCAACAGCTTGTCAAGCTGTGCTCTCACAGAGCTGCCGGGGAGCTCTGAGAACCACCAGTCTCTCAGTTAGTTGCTAAGCATTTAACTATTTGACAACTAGGACTCATTAGAGTTGCCATTAGAGTTACTCAGTGCTCATTTTCACATAAGAACTGTTGAAGTAGGCAAACAGGTGAATAAATGGTCTCCTTTTTCAAGTTCACCTACCCTTAAGAGGATCATGCTCTGCTCTCATAATATCAATAAGGGAATTTTCCAAAGAGTGCATATTCAAACTGTCATACATTCTACTTCGATCCTGAAAGAGAAGAAAATAAGTCTCTCAATATAATCTCTGCAACTTTATTATGTCATTATAAAAATACTATCTAAATACTATTATACATCATAGAAATCTGATTAATAGTATTAATTAGTTTGCATCCCAAAGAAATACCAGTGACAGACGATTTCATCATGATCCACAATCTCTAATATAGTGGAGGGTATTAAATTAATTTTCAAAATACCTTATCAGAATGATCTACTTTCATTGATAATATTAATGCAACACAGTAAACTAATTTTTATTATTATTCTCAACTTGCAAAGATTCCTAAAATGCTATACATACAGAAAGCATCTTCAATTGTTTAACTTGTGTGACTCTATACCATTTATCCAGGAAGACAGTGACATTGGAAAATAAAGATTCTGTGGCAAAGCACTTAATTCCATATTGCACCATAACTTTAAACATCTATCAAACATTTTATGCTGTTTGACTTAGTGTCTGAATAGATTTTCATAATAATGAATGCACAGACAGCTAGTAACAAACAGAAATCAAAGCATGAAATAGCAGTACCAGAAGACAGGCAAATCTTAAATACAGTTAAACGTCACTATTCAACTGCCTGCCTATTGGCTTCTGCATTTCCTAGTCATGTCCTTCCTCTCTCAAACAAAACAAAACAAAAAAACCAAAAAAATAGATGAAAGAGGAAAGAAGGGGTTCAAGTTCTCCTTTTGCACAAATCTGGTCTTTTCTAACGTCAAGACTCATTTACTTAATATTAACCTGTTCACTTGATTATTAGGAAAAAATTAGCTGCTTTAACGTTCCTGCATTTACACTGTATTCAATTCTGTTCACTTAATAGTCCAGTCTCTATAATGTGCACATATGTACAGCACTGGATGGATGGTGAAGAGATTGAGATTGTTAACAGTTTCAGTTTGCTTGGCTCCACAGTCAACACCCTTGGTAACAGCAGCCAGGAAATAAGGAGACGAATTGCATTGGGAAAGTCAGCTGTGAGGGACCTCTCCAGAGTACTAAAGAGCAACAACGTCAGGCTGGAGACTAAAGTGCACCTGATCCGGGCTACAGTCTTCGCAATTACGTGCTATGCATCAGAGAGTTGGACAGTGAATAGGAATGATAGAACGAGAACTGATGCCTTTGAGTTGTGGTGCTGGAGAAGAGTGTTGAATATACCATGGACTGCTAGGAAAACAAACAGGTTTGTCCTGGAAAAGGTGAAGCCAGAATGCTCCTTGGAGTCAAGGATTCTGAAGCTCCGTCTGACATACTTTGGGCATGTTGCAAAGAGGGACTGGTCCTTGGAGAGGGACATCATGTTTGGGAGAGGGGAGGGACGGAGCGGGAGAGGAAGACCTTTGATGAGATGGATCAATTCTGTGAGTAGGGTGGTGGGGATGAGTGTGTTTGAGACGGCGAGGTTGGCACAGGACAGAACGGCGTTTAGGGTTCTTGTACATAGGGTCGCTATGAGTTGCAAGCAACTCTATGGCACATAATAACAACAACAGCATCTCTACTGTATGCATGTATGTACTGAGTGTATATGTATGTGTCTGTCAGTCTATCTATCTATCCACCCATATACAGATACACACACACACAATCAAATCAAATATACGTGGGGAACTACTGCAGCAGCCCCCACCTGCCTCTCAGTTTGTTGGAATGTGGTGGCTTCGTGTGGCTTCAATGTTCAATGACCTGGCACCAGCAAAGTAATCCACATGCGCAGGTTACAGTGGAAGCTTCCATACTAAGAGACACCAGGAAGGAACAGCAGTTGAGGGGTGCTGGACATTGTCAAAACTGAAGTGTATAATGTTAAATGATCGATATTCATTCATGAGCTTAAATGAGCTGTTTTGGACCATTGAGAATCATACAAAAAGATGGTCTACGGAGACAGCAATGATAACTTGAAAAGAAAGGGCACTCAAGCCATTTTAACATTTCAGGATCTACTGTGAAATACGACACTGTTAGTGTCAGCCTATTATTCACTCACTTTCAAGAAAGACCAGATAATAGAACTAGTATTCAATGTACATGCCAACCACCAATGCTAAACATGAAGAAATTAAAAGATTTTTTTCATCAGTTTTCAAACTCCTGCAGTTGGTAAATACACAATCAAGATGCACTGATGACTAATATTAATTAGAATGTGAATGCTGGGAATAGACCAGGACAAGTACCTAGAAAACCTAGGCTTGGTGACAGAATGGACACCAAAAATGTAGTATTTGCTTCTCACCAGACAGAAGACACAGGAATCAAACTGTTTAAATCTGTGGAAAGAGATGCTGGAGAGCTCATTGTCTATGTCATCAGTCAGAACAAGGCCAGGAGATCAATGTAGCACAGACAAATCATTCAAGTTCAAGTCTACGTCAAAGCTGAAGGAGATTAAATGAATCCTTAACAGTCAGAGTATAACCCTAGCTATATTCCACTTGAATTTAGAGGTTACCAAGAACAGATCTTGTTCTTGACCTTGAACATGAGCAAAGACCAGACCAGCTGTCACATGAAATCAAGGGCATCAAGTGTCATTAAAAAGACCTCTGATTAAGAAAATCAAAATGAACGTCCAAAGAGACTCTGAAACTTGTTTTTGAGCGTACAATAGCTAAAATAGTTCAAGAGCTTAAGAGAAGACTTCAAAAGGTAGCTTGAAAAGGCAAAATGTAAACAAACATGCAGAGCCTTGAAATATATCAAAAGGTAAGAGCATGTTTGGCATCTCAAGGTACAATACTGAAGGGTTCGATGGGTGAAAATTCTGAAAGAAGCAAAAAGCATCAAGACAATATGGAAATAATACAAATACTATGCCAAAAAAAAAAAAGACGAAAAAATAGTGGACATCTAATCACTTCCCAGTGTAGCATATGATACAAAACGCTGAAGGAAGAAGTCTAAATAGGCACTGGAAAAGCAAGCCTTCAAGAACTGATGGGATAGCTAGCAAGGCATTTCAACAAACAAAGGCAATTCTGGAAGACCTTAACAGTCCATGCCAAGAAATTCAGAAGATAGCTACTTGCCCAATGGACTGGACATTTATAGTTATTCCCCTTACAAAGAAACTGATCAAAAAGAATGGAAAAAATTCTTTTTTATCATTACTATCACCTGCAAGTATTTTTTGGAAAAGAAAAATTGATCTTAGCAGTAAATCAACAGGAAGATGTTAAAAAGTCAACCTGGCTTCAGAAGATATTATGGATCAAAGGGTATGATGGCTAATGTTATATAAGTAACGGCTGAAAGAGCAAAACTTCTAAAAGGATGTTTGTTGTTATTACGTACCATCGAGTCAAGCATGACTTGTAGTGACCCTGTGAACAGAAGATCTGAACCCTGTTCTATCTGGTGCCTCCTTACACTTCCCAACACACAAGAGTCTACTGCAGCAGTCACCGTGTCAAGACACCTGGTTGAGGGTCTTCCACTCTTCCCAGCATCATGTTCTTCTCCAAGAAAAGCCCCTCCTAGCAACATACCCAACGTACGTGAGGTGAAGCCTCATCATTCTTGCCTCCAAAGAGCACTCCAGCTGCACTCTCTCCAAGACAAATTTGTTCTCTTGGCTGTCCATGGGATGTTCAGTTCTCTTCTCCAACCCCACAGCTCAATGTATCCATTTTCTTTCTGTCATCCTTATTCATTGTCCAGCTCTCAGATGCATAGTAAGTGATCGGAAAGACTGTGGCCTGAATCAGACACAATATTCGTTTTTAAACTTACACCATTATTCCTCAATAATTTGGAGAGAATTTATCTGCAGATTTTCACAGTACAATGTGTCTCCTTATTTCCTGACTGCTGGTAGCAAAGGAGTTAATTGTGGATCCAAACAAGATGAAGATGTTGATAGTTTCACTCTCCTCTCCATCTATCATGACACTGCCTACCGGTCCAGTGGTAAGAATCTTTGTTTTCTTGATATTGAGATGCAATCCATACCGAAGGCTGTAGTCCTTGATCTTCTGTAACAAGTGTTTCAAGTCCTCCTCACTTTCAGTAAGCAAGACTGTGTCACCTGTATAATGCAGGTTACTGAGGAGTCTCCCTCCCACCCTGACAGCCACACTCCTCACAGAGTCCAGCTTCTTGGATAATTTGCTCAGCATACAGTCTGAATAGATATGGAGAGAGAATGCAAGCATAGCACACTCCCTTCACAATTTCAAAGATGTCTACTTGTGTTTTCTTGAGTATGCAAAGACAGATCAATGCGTGGACCATAACAAACTATGAATCCACTGGGAACAGAGAATTCCAGAACTCTTGCCTGTGTTCACGTGAAACCTGGACATAGGTAAGAGGAAGTTGTTCAAACAGAAAAAGGGACTGCCACATGGTTTACAAAGAAGAGAAGTCAAGGTTGCAGTCCTCCAGCGCACTTATTCAATCTATGCGCTGATTAAGTAACTGAGACACCGGACGACACGAGGAAACAGAATCGGGTGGAAGAAAGCTCCTTAATAATCTGTGACATACAGATGATACCACTTTGCTTGGTCAAAATGAAGAAAATTAAAGCATCCACTGATGAAAGTCAAAGTCCACAGCCTTCAAGACAGATTCTACTTCAATATGAACAGGACAAAAACCCTCACAAGCACACAAAGCAGCAGCACCATGATGTATCAAGAACAGTTTACCAGAGTTCAAAAGTGATGCTCGTGGAAGCAGCAATCAAGAATTAAAGAGCACACTGCCTAGGACAGACATGCTAGCAAAGACCTCTTGAAGTGTTAAAAAGAACCTGCCATTTTCCATGCTTCGGTATGTCTGCCCCAAATCATACTTTCAGCTGCTTCATATGCACATACAAGCTGGCCAGAGAGTGAGGAAGACCAAAGATGAACGTATGCATTGCAAACACTGTGTTGCTGAAGAAAACGGATTATACCATGAGCTTCCAGGAGAACGAACCATCTATCCTGGAGGAAGGACAACCACAGTGTTCCTGAGAAGCCAGG